CTTTAAAATTATATTTGCACATCAGCTGACTTAGTTAAAGGGAAATCTGTGACTGCTCCGGACGGAACAATCGTTCATCCAAACCAAGTTTTGGGACCTTCTCGGGCTGGCACGGTAAAACATTATGCAATTTGTACTAGTATCTTTATTCTCATCAAAAAATAAAAAAAAAAATATAATATATATATATATATATTTTTTTTAAAATATTTAAAATCCATATTATATTTTCTAGATCTTTGTTGTTTTAGATGTTCCCTCTACATCTTACATACCTTCAATATGTGCATCTCCAGAGCTTGCCACATATCAAACGGATAATAAGGATTTACAGCCTCGAATCATAATTCATATGCTTGGTAACGGTGTTTTGGAAAATGAGAAATATCAATCATGGATGAAAAAATTTGGCCCAAATACTGAGGTAATAATATTATTCTGTTTATCTATCTTAAATTTTTTTTAGTTTATTATATTCACATGTTTTATTATATTATTTATATCAGCATGTTATCATGAATGAACAATACTGTCCGCAAAGAATAATATTTAATAGTATTGCAGAAAGTCAATTTAAATTGTCCAAGATTGATGAAAACCGATTTCGTATACCTTATTACTCAAATCAACCTGAAAAGTTATTAGACTCAAGTAATAATTATTATAGTTATTTTTTACTCTTCTACACTCTTAACTAACCGATTTTTGTCCCTTTTTTCTTTTTAGTATCTAATATTCCAAAGACAACACATTTAGCTACCCCATTATTGACTTTTCATATGGAACCTTCATTCAAGATTGATACTTCTAATTTGCCAGAATTATTTGATCATAATGATGAAAATTCAAGAGTAGTAAAGGAATTAAATAAAAATATCGAATATCTTAATATTGCAACACAAGTACGAGAAGAAGTTGCTAAAGCAACTCCAAAAGCAACAGACATTCCCGGGAATGATGTTATTGTTACAACTCTTGGTACCGGTTCAACTCTGCCTGCAAAGTACAGAAATGGTAATTATTTTTATATATAAATTTTTAATATAACAAAATGTTTAATCATTCTAATCATTTTTAGTGAGTTCAACGCTTCTT